TATATATATCTATATATATATATATATATATATATATATATATTATCTATCTAGTATCTATCCTATATTATCTTACTCCTGATGACATGGAATGCGATGGATAGATGGATGCATGGATGCATGCATGCATGGATAGATAGATAATTAGATTTTTTTTGGTATTTTCCTTTCAATCAAGCAGTCACCAACTGAGTAACGCCACTGATTTCCCCGGGCAATGCCGGGTATCCCGCTAGTGCATATATAGTTAAATACTATAGAGTTTATATCCTACAGACCAAAAATATATCCTCATTGTTGCCTGCATATTGATATAGCAGCACTGCACTGTGTGCTGCTCATTTGCATTCACTCAAACATTTTTGCTGCCCGAATAAACATTTACTTGCTGCCCCACATGTATTGTCACAAGGTCAAGCAATTATAGTGTGTTCCAGATATCATTACTGATTAGGCAGCGCATTACAAAGGTTGCACCATTAATATAAACGTCTAAAAACTGGCCATGACTCACATTGTCTAGCACTATGTTTATTCAGAGTGCATAGTACTTTATTTCAAACTATAATAATATACTTAGTCAATTATAAAAATCATCAAAGTAAAAAATGATAATTTTAAAACTAAACTAAGCTAAAATTAAACCAAGAAGCCATAAGGATGAACTCATAAACATCTCAGTCAAATACTTTGATCTTTTAGTTCCTTTATACTTTAGTGGCTGTAGATTTGTGAACTATATATATATATCAGGAGTGTATAATATATACCAATGTACCAATGTACCTATGTTGCCAATATATATGTGCTGTTTATGCAAAATTTTAGATTTAGTGGTGTGCACAATAACGAGAGCAGTTGTAGCCATTTTTGCCATTTTGAACTCATTTTTGCCATACATATATAGCTTTTTTGGTGGATGTTAGCTGTGACAGTTGTGGGGTTGGTAATGTTGGTGGTCGCTGTAGTGTTGATGCTGGTGGTTCCAAAATCAAATTTTACAAGTCCTAAACTATCAGATTTATTCATGGATAAGATATTCGAACTGGTGTGGTGGATTACCGTCAGTGGAAAAGAAATAAAATTATCATCTAATGTTTTAAGATTTTCGCTGTTAGAAATTCCCCTTAATATAAAATTTATATATGTTATTATTACTTATTTACACATTATTATTATTAAAAAAGGTGATGTAAATGGGAACAGTGCATGTTTACATTCTGTTAATGTTTTCTGTAATGTCTAACCAAGACGTAATTATATCCCAAAACCTTACAACTAGCTGCAAAATATTGTACGTAGTGCTAGTTCGTATGACTACGGTGTATTATAGGTGAAGTTTGCACCCTGCATAATGATGATGATGGTGATGATGGTGATGATGGTGATGATGGTGGTGATGGAGGTGGCATTAGTGGCAGTGGCGATGTGGCAGCATTGGCGGTACCATTTAATGCTGAAATGACTCTGTTCTAAGCCTAATCTACTTTTGCTTAACTGAAATTTGATTGCGTGGTAGAGTGTTAATTAGCATGATGTCATTAATCTTCATTGAGTGCGTGGCCCCATAAACCTCTTTAGACTTGTATATTTGTCGGAATGACTAACCCTACAGACTGTAGACTGTATGTCACAAACAGGTTTGTCAATTTGCCAGTGCAATTTAATCCAATCTTAGTTATGCAAACATGGATGACAATCGTATGACACAGAGCTCGCGAAAGTGGCACCTGAGCCACTGACCGTTTACTAGGCACTGTGTTTAACGAACTGTTGGATCTTCTTTACATTTATTAGCTCATCTGACATAGTCAGATGCAGCTTGTAGAATCGCATGAGCGTGCGTCTGTCCGTACGTGCGTCCGTCCGTGTGTCAACAGTTGGGCACAAATCTTAACCGCTCGACGTACGGTCACGATATTCGGCACATCGGGGGGGATCGTCAAAACGAGTTGGGATGTCGAAGCTGGGGGTCAAAGGTCAAGAGCTGTAAAAGAAGGGAACATTCACTCCTTAACTTAAGGTATAGGGAGGAAATGCAGAATTGCGGCACAAATCTAAACGGCTCGACCTAGGCTCGTGATAGTCGGTGTATAGCATCATGGTAGGAAAAGCCATCACTGTGCCGAAATTGGAGGTCAAAGGTCAATGGGCACGGGGCAGATTTTAGACATTTTCTGAGGACATGGTCTGACGGAGCGATTGGAAAACTTTTTTGTTTCAGCGGTGACCTAGCATTTTTATGGCTCTATGCCTGGATGTATGAGGCTACAATGTAACAGTGAAATTTCAAAAGCTAAATTTGGTTGA